TGTGTGTGGGAACCAGAGGCGGATCCAGACTATAAAGTTTATGAGTTCCTATAACGATCTCAAGTTATCAATTGGATTCACAATCAAATATTTATAAATTTTTTAATAAATTTTTTAATCAATATACAAGGACCGTGCAAAAGCTACTGAGTTCTCGGGAACCCGCACGTTACCCTCTAGATCCGCCACTGGTGGGAACTCAAAAATTTATGCACAACCATTAAAGGATAAATACCTCTTTAACAAAATGACATAAAACAATAGCTTTGACAAGGAAAAATTAAACAACACATTCAACTTGTAAGAATAGTCTAGTAGAGTACCTAGATTATAGATTGCTAATATGTCAAGAAAGAAAACGTACCGTCTATTGGTCAAAAAGGGTTTCCTGCTGCTACAAGCCAAGAATATATATGTTATGAAATTTCAAACCTAATTTTATTAGGTTACATTGTTCAACTAATATTTGGATCTAATTGCCAATAGGGATCGGATTTCAGGACTAGGATCAGATTTAATCCGATCCTATTTTGTTCAATGGTCACGTAGTTTATTTTATATCATTAATTTTCTAAATTAAGTGCAGTGTAAAGGGTTCAATTTAATAACAATGTGGCACAGTTACTACACTACAAAAAAATAATAAATGTGGAGTGGGGAAAAAAAATCAGTAGGATCCACTTTCTTGCTACCATGATCCTGAGTGGGTTTTCTCCAAATATAAATCCAGTTTTCTCCATTTACTGGATTGTAATTCCAACCCAATCCAATATTTAGTTTACTGTTAAACTATGTCTCTACTTGAAAAGTTATATGTACTACTTTGAACCGATCCCAAACTAAGTAGTATGTTTAATTTAGCAAAACTTCTAAATCAACTTATTTTGAAAAATATTTTTCTCAAAATATATTTAAAAAAAAATATTTTTAGTGAAAAGTAGTTTATGTTTGACTGAGATTTGAAAAGTGTTTTTCAATTAGTGTTTGATCAAACTTTTAAAAGTGCTTATTATAAGTGTATGTTTTCAAAAATCCTTTTAAAAGAAATACTTTTAGGGAGAAATTATTATTTTTCAGCTTCTTAAAAATAATAGGATATCATTTGCTCCTAGTAATCAAAATTTACATAGTTTCTGAAAAGAAGCATAATAATACGTTCCATCTTTTCAATACATGCACTCACAATCTAAAACCAAGTTAATTTGAAAAAGGAAAAGGAAACTAGAGGAAAAGAATTCCAAGTAAACAAAAAGAAAAAAGAAGTTCATTTGATCGATTTCTAGTTGGATGAGAAGGTAACTATCTCCAAATTCGCAGATCTCTTTTCTGCCTTCTTTCATCTGTTTTTATTTTTATTATTTTCATTATTTTCTTGTTACTCCTTCTTTCCATTTATGTCAATTTATTTCTTATTTAGTTCGTTCCAAAAAATGATTCTTTTTAAAATCTTGAAACATTCTAACGTTATGATAGCTTATTTCGGACTATAAATTTCAAAAGGTTTGATTTTCTTTCTTTCTTAAACTTATTCAAGCTCAGTCAACTAATTTACATAAATCGAAAAGGAGGGGTATTAATTTTCCATTTCACTTCTGTATTTTCTTTGTCATTTTTACTTTTTGTGTGTGTGTGTTCTGTCATTTTACGTAAGGGTTTTCGTCGGATTTTTGTATACGATATCATCTTTTTGTTCACTGTCTCTTGTAAAAACAATGATGTAGACGGCCCCCAAGCTGACTAAGCTTTTCCAACTGGTAATATAAGGATAATTACAATCAGTAAACTAACTCAAAAAAGAAAGAAGAAATATTTCAATTTTCAACTAAGTATATGTTAAAAAGATAAAAATGAAACAATCCGAAGCATGTGATAAACTTAGATGTTTTGCTTTCTGGCCTTTAGAGATCTAGGGTGTGTTTGGTATGAAAGGAAAACGTTTTCGTGAAAAATGTTTTCTTGGAAAATTAATGGTGTTATCACTTATTTTTCCATGTTTGGTTGGTGAATGAAAAACTTTTTCCGAAAAATATTTTCTAGTGTTTAATTAGAGAGTATAATTTTTTTTAGGAATATAATTTTCTATGCTACTCTTTTCA